TTTAAAAAGACAAAAAGAAAGTGAGTATGACTAAAAGAGATAATTAAGGATGATGTATGTGGGTGTGTGTGTTAGTGTATGTGAAGGTTAGTGTTTGAAGCCAACATGTGATTTTCGATTTTGCTTGTCTGCGTGTTAAGGAATAGATGTGATTGATTTTGTGTGCTTTGTTATAAAGACGTGAGCTCATTACAGTATATTGACAGCTGGCTGAGGCTGTTCTGTGTGGAATTGGTTCACAAATTGGTTTCGTTTTTCTGTTTTTCTGGGACCATTTTGGATCATATGGCAGCGAACTATGTTTCCTCATGATGGTGCAGAGAACATAAAGCTGTCTCACTGTGAGTACTCGACATTCTTTTTACAGTTCGTTAGTAGGATAACTAAAAGGCTTCGAGGCTATTACTCTGAGAACAGCCCTCTGGGCTCTCTCCAGATCCAAGACTTTGCCCGCACCACCGAAACAATTTGTGCGCAAAAAGGATAATCCCACAAGAGCTCCACTTGTGGTATCAATCTCAATCTCAATCTCTACCAAATAACAAAGATATCGTTGACACAACAATGGAGCCAGATATTACAGAGGCGGGAGAAGAAGAAGTATTTATAGGTCCACACCTATAAATACTGAATTCTTTTTTTTATAATATTTTTTTACATTATTGTTTTCATTATTGCGAGCGCAAGGTTGTTTCACTTTTTTTTTGTTTTTCCTATTTTTTTGCATTAATTTCTTTAATAAATTTTAATTAAACTTATTACAATTGTTTAATTACATCATCATTATCATATTTAAAACAAAACTTATCACACAAGCTTCTAAAATTTAGATAGGTAGTATTTACAATACACATTTGGTGCTTGAACAAATAGTTCCAGTTTACTTAACTACGGTTATTTCTATTGATAATGAGTTGAAACTAAGTGAAAAATCACTATCTCTGGTCGACAATTAACTAAATCAAAATTATCTAGAGATCGTTTAGGGAATAAATAACTAGTTTGATATTTTTAATTTTTCTTAATAACAAAAACATTTTCTTGCGTTATAGCTTTTATAATATTAACTTTACTCTTTTTCCTTCAAATAGAAACTAAAAACATGACGATCGGCAATGGCTAGCTAAAGTTATAACGAATCTAATTTTTTAAAACTTTAAACTTCATTTTCTCGAAACGTGATTTTTCGACTTGATGACTTTTCGCTCTACGGGGACGATATTGTTGTACATTATTTTGTTCTATCGCTAATAGTTTCGGCAGCGCATTCGACGAAAGACATTTTAAGACTCATTTTTCTACACCTTCAGTTACATAGTTCGAATTTTACCAAGGATCCCTAATTTTTTGCAAATTGGAAGCCCATGTCAAATTGGAAGAATGTAGCATTCTATTGGTGAAAGATTTTTTTAAATCGGCCCTGTACTTTTTGAGCCTATTCATTACAAACATACAAACATACAAAAATAGGTACAAATCTTTCCTCTTTATAATATAGAAGATATACACGTTACACGCACTGCGATAGCCCTTGTTTTGAATTTCAGAGACTGTACTTGCTTATTTATTAAAATCAAAAACTAAACAAATATTACTTTGTTCCATTCAGGAATCGAATATACAATAATTATAAATCACACATACTTCAATTGAATAGATCGATAAAATAGCCAACTATCATAAAGTTTTTAGATGCCACAAAATGTTTAAATGAAAGAATTTTCATAAAAGATAGCTCATAATTTTTGAAATAGGCAGTATAGTAGATTTGTGTAGCAAAATATATGAAGAAATCGAAATCTTTAAAGGACGCCTATGTCGAAACACACGCTGTTTTTGAATTAAACGCCGATATAAGTAAGATAAAACATTTGTAAAGTGTAGGCAATAAGCTAATTGATGTTAATGTTAGTAAGTTTAAACAGCAATAAAGGCTAATTTTATTTATTTATTTTACTGTAGTACATTTGTATAATGTCAGATGGTTAGGTACGAAAATATTACTATAGTTTATATTTCTGCTAATAGTTCAATATGAAAGCTAACAGAAGTAAAATAAAATAACGTTAAATCTTTTTTCTTCCACAGGTCACAGAAGAAGAACGACCACAACATCACAAGCTCCAACCACAGTGAACTTCTCTACGATAAACGGAGAAGATCCCACCGAGTTCTACACCACTACAGAATATGTCCTCACAACATATCCTAAGTTACCCAAACCACTACGCCTCACCTCCCTATTAGATAAAGAATACAATGACGATGTACATAATATACATAACATTATAGATGAAGTAACAATAGGTAGAGGAAGACACAGTAAACATGATAGAATAACTGATAAAGAAATTTTAAAAGAACTAGACGAAACTACACTATCTAAATCAATGAATAAAGTTAAGAAAATGTACAGAGATTCAGCTGGTTCAACAGTTAATAAATTAAGTGGGAAAGTTGGTAAAGCTGGTATATTTTTGACTGAAAACTGTACAACAGTTATAGCTCAAATAGGTACGACGGCAATACTGCATTGTGAAGTTAGTGATATCACCGAAAACACGGTAAGTGTTGCTTTAATATCTTAAACTTTTTGATATTCAGAAATATAAACGGTTGTGAATCTGATAGCCTGATAGATTTTTGGCAAGTTATGCTACTTTTTTATTGTAACAAAGACGACGTTGCTAACGAAGTTATTTGATTACTTAAAATTAAAAAACCCTCACAGTTACCCAAATTCAGTAATAAAATCCAAGGTCTTGGACGTGCTATCAATCTAGCTATCCAAATTTAGCAGTAGCAATATGCAAACTAACCACGTAACTCAAACCACTCGTCCCTACGCTATGAAAAATATACTGACCAAAAACTCACCCAACCCAAAAAGAAAGTAAAGGCTGGCATTGTATTTCATTAAACGAGTTTCCAGGGAATTTAGTCCCTTCTATACCTACGTACGGTGGCAACAATCAAAACGGAATTCTTCAAAAAGTTTGTAACAAAACTGAAGTACAAACACGCAAGTACAACTTGGAGAGAACTTTGTTAACTCCTGAATGAGTTCTAAAACTCCAACCGAAATATTTTGCTGTTGCTTTTGGGGTGGAAATTACAAAAAAGAGTTTACGCTGAATTCATAAGCTGTTTGTGTATTATGACATCACATTTGCTTCTTGAAAGGAGTTGGATTTTTATTTCGATTATCAACACCAGAATTTAAACTGTAATAGTATCTTACAAAAAGTTGGAAATCCGAATGGATTTTGGAAGGATGGATTTATCTATCTATCTATGCATGTAATAAACTCGTAGGAAAGTGAAAACTGTACATTGAATCTTATATTTTTTAAAGAATGCATTGAGCGTGATCTAAATTCAGGAACCGAAACCAAAAATGTGGTTTTTAGAATTTTTGTCTGTCTGTCTGTATGTATGTATGTCCGGAAAGAACTCTAAAAGTGCTCCATAGATTTATTTCAAATTTTGCATGAATGTTACTAACAGGTCGGGTCAATATATAGATTACATATTATCATGTTATCAACTACGGAGGAGGAGCTGTGAATCACTATTCCATGCGGACGAAGTCGCAGTCTCAGCTAGTTGAATAATAAAGACAGTTTTAGATGTCTTCAAGTCTAATATGTATGTCTATACACATTTTGGTTGTCACTAGCACTGTAGTAGTTTAGTAGTAGTATCTCTTTCAAAAAAACTAGAGACATGATGTTAAGAACTTATTTCGTTCCGTTGCGTTCTATTGAAACTTCTCTCTAGTTCTTGAAACCGAATATTATTAACAACTCTATATTTACTTCTAGGTAACGTGGATACGAAGAAAAGACTACTCGTTGCTGTCCGTCGGTCTTGTGACGTATAGCGCTGACAGCAGGTTTTTCTCAGCTCATGGGAGACATGTGAAGGTGAGTTCTTATAACAGATTAATTTTTAAGAACATAATATTCGTACCTAAAAGCGAGCAAATCGCTGATCACAATATGTTTGGTACGTCCTTTAAAAGTTTTCATACTGATCACGCCAAAATAGTTATCTGATTTGGCTAAAATGTAACCTAGATAATAATAGTAATCTAGATTAGGGGTATGAGTACTAAATTAATTATTATGGCTGATACTGGCCAGTAGCTTCGCGATAGTTGCTGTGTCGCGGGTCGCGGAATGCTACTCATGAATACGAACTTTTAGCTAAAACTAGCCGAGTTCTTCAACAAACAGTAACGTGTGTAGGTTGAAATAAAATAATAATTAATTTAGTGTCTTACAAATTGCTCTGCTGCTGCCGCCTCGCAGGTCGAGTGGTAGCAAGTGCGACTGCGGGCAAGGGGTCTCAGGTTCGATTCCCGGGTCGGGCGAAGAACTACTGGGTTTTTAAAAAAAAATTTAGTGTGAGCAAGGAGTCTAGAATTGTACCCGGTATATGGCAATAGGCTCACCCCCTATTACATGGGACTCATAGCATAAATAGTGAAAACTGGGTGTTACATTGGACAGTGGCATTAAGTGCCGTAGGCAATGTTTACCTCTGCCTACCCCTTCGGGGATAAAAGGCGTGATGTTATGTTATGTTACTACTGCACTGTTGATTATATTAGTACGACTGTCGATCAAAGGTTTTAGGATTTTCAATTTCGTCTTAGGCAAGGACCTATTGCATTTTAAGAGCTTCGAAATTCTCTTCAGCGATAAATATTAAGTATTTTCATAATTCTTCAACCCAAACCCTTTGAGGAATAACAGACATGACATAACATTATGAAAAAGACTACAAGCCATTACACAAAAAGGCAATTTATAACACAACTAATACAGGGGAAGTTAACATCAATTTGAAGCCCTGTTTGCCAGTGCTTTGTAAAAAACCAATTTGGGTTACGGCTATTAATTTGGCCTATTCACCCGCTAACGACCACTTAATGATAGCCCAGCCCACTTTGCGATGCATTCGACCATTACCAAGTAATTATTATGAATTTTAAACCGCAATACTGTTTAACACGAGCTTCTATTAATCAGGTATTAATTTTGTAAGTTATTACATAGTTACTATGTCAATGATGAGATTAAATACTGTCTTTTAATTTTTAGAAGACGTTGTTAGTGTATATATTGTATCATAATTGTTAATATTGTACTTATGTCAACAAGTGACGTTGGAGGGTCAACGTTTAGACAGAAAATGTGGTTTTACTAATTCATCATCAACAGTCTATAAATGCCCACTGCTGAGCAAAGCCTCTTCTCACACGGAGAAGGTTTGAGCATTAATCTCTATGATTACTCAATGCGGGTTAGCGAATTCAAACTTATTATTAGAAATTTTAAGCCAGATTTCCTCACGATGTTTTCCTTCACCGTTTGTCAGTGGTGTCTAAATAATCTTAGAAAGTACATTTAACTCGGAAAAAGTCACATTGGTACTTGCCGTTGGTAGGTTTCGAACCCTCATGCATGAGAAGCATCTCAAACCTCCGGGCCGCTACGACGTTACGGTTTTACTTATAAGGAATTTAAATTAATGTATTTCCAAAATAATTATTATGTTTTCAGCTTACTCATATAACTGTTTGATAAAGAAGACTGCCTCGTTAGCCGAGTGGTCGCAAGTGCGACTGCCGGGCAAGGGGTCTCGGGTTCGATTCCCGGGTCGGGCAAAGTATTACTGGGATTTTTCAAAAATCTCAGTGGTAGCAAGGAGTCTGGAATTGTGCCCGGTATATGGCAATAGGCTCACCCCATATTACATGGGACTCATAACATAAATAGTGAAAAGTGGGTGTTACATTGTACAGTGGCATTAAGTGCCGTAATGTGCACCTCTGCCTACCCCTTCGGGGATAAAAAGGCGTGATGTTATGTTATGTATGTTTGATAAAGAACTCGATAAGCATATGCATATATCACATAGCTATAGTAGCATGGCTTGAAACTAGTCGAGTTACTCGTTAAACAATTACGTGAGTAAGCCGAAACTATAATAAATAATTTAGTATGTCTCACGAAAGTTTTAATATAAACATAACGTATTTCCAAATTAAAATTCTCAGTAGTAGCACGGAGTCTGGAATTGTGCCCAGTATATGGCAATAGGCTCACCCCCTATTACTTGGGGCTCATAACATAAATAGTGAAAAGTGGGTGTTACATTGTGCAGTGACATAATGTGCACCTCTGCCTACTACTTCGGGGATATAAGGCGATGTTATGTTATGTTATGTTATTTTCAGTTAAAAATCTGCTTCATGCTGCTTCTCTTTATTTTGTTGAATTGTTAGTTCGCCCTTTTTTAGGTAACAAAGCCTAGATTCTGACAGATCAAAGTTTTGTTCATAATATTTATTACATTTTCCAAAAACTTTGTTCAACAATGCTTCTACACAATTGTACAGTCGGCTCAAAAATAAGAAACCAAAACAACGGTTGAATTATAAAAAAAAAAAAACAAAATTCAGCCTCCGAGAGTCGAGAGATTCCGGCATTCCAGCATTTATTACATCAAATAAATCGATTCATCCGTACAGGTCAGTGAGTTCGATCCCGGTCAGCGTTATCTGCAACCGTTCGGAGGAGTGAAAGGAATTTATAAAATTAAACTTAAACAATTCAAAATTTGTAGTAGATAAAGATATTGGAATTTGTATAACAAAGATTTAATTTAAACACTGATGATTTAATTCATAAAGAGATATTAAATATTTTTAGCTGGAAATCTGTTCCGCAGGAAGTTATAGACTTTTTATTGTGCCAAGGAATGCTATTATTACCTGCTGGCATTTAAAAAATATCAGGAATATTATATCGAAAATGAAATGATTATATACAATTCTTGATAACAGATTTATCTCAGAATTTGTTACAACTGATTTTAAATTGAAAAGATAACCTAATAATACTCAGGAAAGTTGAACTTTGCAACCAATCAACTAGCAAACCAAACAATCACCATGCTATTAATAAGGCCCAAAAAGTACCCAATACATTAATCTACCAGTTCTATTCACGACTCAAAACCTCCACATTGAAAATTAACCCTGTAACTCTTAGATCGTCTACTAAACTTACACCCAAAGGAACAACTAAAATTCAAACACTGAGCAACTTTGAAAACTAATGTACTATAAAGTCTAATCTAAGGAAATTAGTAAAATATTCGAGCGAGGCAGCAATTAATCGCTAGAACTTTAATAAATGGGCTACTAATAGATCATGTATGATGATGATATAATAGAATAAAATGTCAAAGTCAATGTTTTATCATTTATTTATTTATGTATTTGGAAAAGCAACACAATAGCCCCTCCCCTCTCCCATTTAACCAAACCCTGAATCCTCAACAATTTCCAAATTTCTAAAAGACCGGTAACGCACATGCAACGCTTCTAGTGTTCCGGGTTTCCATGGTCGACGCTGATTGCTTACCATCAGGTGATCCGTCCAATAGTTTCCAGGCTCATCCCATAAAAAATACGAGTGTGTAATTGTGGTAATTATAGAAAGATAGAGAATAGTCGTGAATAAATTAATATCGACTATGATTTCAAAAAGGAATAAAAATTAAATGCACCTCTCTAAAACAACATGTTGACGAGAATAATTTAAAATGAGAAAATGTTTCTGCAAATTGTATTTTGTCAGTTATCAAAAATAATAATACAAGAAGTTAGTAGGATAGGATTATATTAGAAGAGGATTTACCAAAAGTTTTCGGGATATTGAAGCAAGTTTGAAACCCTGAAGCGATACTAGTAGGAAACAAAGCTACAGCCCTCTATTATATGAGACTCATAACATAAACAGTGAAAAGTTACATTGTACAGTGGCATAAAGTACCTTTATGTGCACCTCTTCCTACCCTTTCGGGGATAAAAGGTATGATGTTATGTAACAAAGCCATATACTATAAAAAAATCTAGGCTTACTACTACAGTTTTAAAGATAGTCCCTACAACAGACTAGATGCCCGGAAATCCAAGCAATGGAACCGTAATAAAAGCCCCACTGGGACCACTTCACGCCGTAATTTGGAAAAATCATGTGCCCAAGGCCTATGAACTTGAGTCAATGAACGATAATATAACAGAACTAAATATACCTCCAGAGTAAAATACCAAACTCTCGGTAACCAATTAGAAGTATTTTAGATTTAATCAATCGGAAAAGGATTCGTGAACGACCGACTTAATTTTCTTGTCGAAGTTCTAAGAAGATAATTTTGGTTCTATAGCTAACAAGTCAATCGAATTTTAGAGGCACGTGTGACTAATGTCACGGTTAAATAGTCAATAACACCAATGTTAAAGTTAAAGTAAATCTTAATTAAGATTTATATTGTACTAGTTACGGTATTAGAGCCATTAATAAATAATAACAGTTTTCGGCCAAAATTTGCACTTACAAACTTGAAATACGCGATTTTAATACGCATTAAGTGCCATAATGAGCACCTCTGCCTACCCCAGCGCGGTTAAAGGTATGATGTAATGTGTACACCTCAGGCTATGTTGCGGAGAACCTAACGGGTAACCAGGGCTCCGGCTCGACATGCAGGAGAAGGAACGGGGTGGTTTTTAGTCAGTAAGAGTCTGACACACCCAGGCGGGAGCAGTCATTCGATGATCTTCCCCCATAAAAAAAAATCACCTTAAGCTATAACGTTACGGGTATTTTATGAGTGAGTTTACTAGAGGTCCAATTACCCCTTCCCAGTTTCCCAATATCTTCAAATCCCCTAACCACAAAATCCTTAAATCGTGCCGAAAATCTAAATTCAAAAGGCTCGTAACGTACTTATAACTCATCTAGTGTTTTGACTGTCTATAAGTGGAGCAAATTACTTACGATCAGGCGATCCATCTGCTCGTCAATAACAAATATGTAGTCACCATTTTAAAAATCAAAAAGTGGTCTCATGAAATCTATAAAGGTATTGTGTAATTCTATAAATATATAATTTATATTATCTGTAACAAGCTGACCTGGCCAACTATTTATGTTCTTCTTTGTTTATGAAATACTAGCTTCTGTCCGGGACTTCGTACGCGGAATCCCGTATTTTCTCGTTTACGTAAGATTTTCGGGAAATCCTTAGTTAAAACGTATTCTATGTCTGTCTCCTGGTTTTAAGAGCAATGTAAAACAGACGTTTTTTAAAAGAGTAACGAATGGAGTTTCTTGCTCGTTCTTCTCCACTCGAATCGACATTTTGGAACGAGCGCCTAGCTTCACTGACGGACAGACTGACAGACTATTATGTTTCATATTTGTTGACGTTTCAATAGTACCAAATTATGGTTTAATTAAAATAAATGCTTTTGAGTTTGAGTTTAAGCTACCGTCGCACCAATTTTCAGCCAAATCTATATAGCCATTCTTAGTGTAACAAACACGACTTTCTTTTATATATAGAGATTTAGTGTGCTTCTGACTAGCTTGTTTTATTCACACGTAAAATTATTCTGTATATTTTATTGAAAATTATATTATTACAGGTATGGATTTGTCAAGAACAATCCGATTGTACACAAACATACATAGTGGCTTTTGTTGATAGTAAAAGGGACTATCAAATAGGGTTGTAATAATAAAATTTACCGACCGCAAAATTAAGTTTGAATAAGATGATGGTATCAAGGAGAATGGTGTAGGAATAGGACAAAGATAAGTGAATGATCTTGTAAAGGTTAGAACCTTTTGTGGAAATCGTTACAATGTCTTCAAGATTTTACCTTTTAACAATAATGGGCTAACCTTCATTAATTTAAACGGACCACATTATGAACTGATTCCGCTTTTCAATGAAGATTAGTCGATTAGGTTTGGACAAGAATGATAAAGGTGATGAAGAAAAGTGCTTTGGGTAAAGAATTAAGTTGTGTTTTACAAAATCGTGGTTGTCGTACGAAATCGTTATACAATTATGTGGTCGTGGTGGCCCGGAGGTTTTAGACGCCCGCTTCTCATGCATGAGAGTGCGGGTTCGAAACCTACCAAACGGCAAATACTAAAATGACAATGAAATTTCAGAGTTACATGTACTTTCTAAGATTATCTAGACACCACTGACAAATGGTGAAGGAAAACATCGTAAGGAAACCTGGACTTATAATTTCTAACTATAAGTTTGTAATCGCCAACCCGTATTGAGCAAACGTGGTAATTAATGCTCAAACCTTCTCCGTGTGGGAAGAGGCTTTGCTCAGCAGTGGGCATTTATAGGCTGTTGATGATGATGATGTTTTACAAAAGTGGTTTAAAAATCATTTGAATTTTTTTATGCTTTACTACCAGTTTTGCACCAAAAATTTCTATTCTATATTAATACTTCTGAGAGATACAATACCCTTATTGCTTTCTTTATCAACGTTTCATTTTTACACAACCTGTCCATCTTTTGTCTAATCGTCTAGACTTCATTACAAAATAAAAATATTTATTAAAGTTCTTTTTTCATAAGAATGTTCTCCATTACAGTCCAAAATTAAGAACCTAAAAACCTCAATATATTTCTTTATTAAACGCTCTTTACAAAAAATATATTTCATGAATTCAATTTTACTTTACAAAATAGTTATCTTAACTTCACGACCTCATTTCCTTTTACACGAGAACGTAAGAAAATCTATACATATAATAAAATTGTAGAAAAGTGCTGTCTGTACATTGAAAATAAAAATAAAAAAAATAGCAGGGGCTATTGTTATGTCGATGTCGAACCCAAAAATGTAACCAACTTTTTTTTTGTCTGTTTGTCTGTTTGTCTGTTCACGCTAATCTCAGAAACGGCTTATCCGAGTTGGATGCGGTTTTCACGAATATATTGTGGTATGCTTCAGTTATGCTTTAGTGTTTGTTTCATGTCAATCGGTTCATAAATAAAAAAGTTACGTCAAATTAAAGAATCAGCGTAATAATAGTGCATTATTACGCTGAAAACTTATCTTAGTGCAGTGACAATCCAAAACATTACACAGTGTTTACAATAGTTCGTGAATTATGCTACGATTTGTGATGACATTACTGATTTAAAAACTTTTGCAAATCGTTTGTGGTTATTACGAACATACAGCTGATCAGGTACAATTTCATCGCGGTGACCATTTGCGCGCCATCTCCGTCGCTCCTAGCATAGCGGGCTATTCCTAGACTGCTCGCACGCGTGTCGAGTGCGGACGCACATGCTTCGTAGTGTGAATAAATCATAAATCATAATCATCGGCTTGTGATAATAACTGCAGTATGAACACTCAATGTGCGGCTTGTAAACAAAATATAACCACGGGCAAACCAATAAAATGTTCAGTTTGTGATGCTTACTATCACAAAATATGTGTCAATGCAACATCAATTGACACAAACAAAAAACGCGACTCGTGGTCATGTCCATCTTGTCGCTCCAAGTCTCCTCGCACATACCATAATAATGAAACACCTGTTCAGCTGTCATCTAGTGATGCTGATATCAATGGCTCAAATGTTAACGTTCAGTCTCGCGCCCATAAGCGTGCGGCTGTTGGTTCTCCTGTGAGTGAAAGGCATGAGGCGGAAAACTCGAAATCGTTCGCTGATCTCATCTCAGAAATTAGATACTTGCGGACGGATATGGTTGAGGTGAAAACGACCTTAAAGTCCTTACTCGATGACATATTTAAGTTTAACGGTCGTCTGGATAGCTACGATGACAGGCTTAAATGTTTGGAGCAAAGTAATCCACAATCGCTTATAGAAAAATTGGAACGCGACTTTACACAAACAACAGATTTTATAGCGTCGGAACAGAATGATTTAAAGGTAAAATTGGAGGCAACAAACAAAATCGTTCATGACCTTGAACTTGAAAAGTCACAAACGCTATTTGAAATGTCCAAGCTGCAACGACGTTTATTTACAATAGAAAAAACGTCAAGGTGCCGTAATCTGGAGGTTCAGGCCGTTCCTGAGCACCGCAACGAGAACGTTGATCTTATTTTCAAGAAACTTTGTGAGAAGCTTGGTGTCCTCGTATCAGAAAGCGATATAATATCGTGTCGAAGAGTTGCAAAGCTTAATCCTATTTCAAACAGACCACGAAACATATTAGTAACATTGAGATCAGAGCGGTTGCGTGACCATGTCATATCAGGCCTTAAAAGATACAACAAAGAGCATCCAAACAATTCTTTGAACTCTGGAGCCTTGGGTATCTCAGGTGAAAGCCGTAAAATATATCTAAGTGAACATCTCTCCCCGGAATGTAAGGATCTCCACGCTGCAGCTAGACATGCTGCTAAGGCTCACTCATTTAGGTTTGTTTGGGTAAAATACGGCCGTGTTTATTTAAAGAAGGATATAGATTGTCCTGCTATACACATTAAAAGTAAAGACTGCTTGAATAAATTGACGTAATATATTGCATAGTGCCTACATTCATTTTATTTTATTATTGAATTGTAATCTGTATCATATTTTACAATACTTGTGTCTTGCTATTTCAATCAACAGTATCTCTCTAATTTATGAAAATTTATTATCAAAATGTTAATCGTATTAGAAGCAAACTGAATGAATTATATTTAAATATACTAAATGAGAATTATGACATCATATGTTTATGTGAAACTAATCTCGATAGTTCATTCTGCGATAGTGAGTTTGTGGATGACAGGTACGTTGTGTTTCGAAGAGATCGAGAAACAACTGGCTCTCGCAAGCAGACTGGTGGGGGTGTCCTGATAGCGTGTAGAAGAAGTTTTATTGTGTCCCGTCATGGCGACCGTGAGAGCTCATACGAGGATCTGGCGATATCCTTGAGCTGTGAGGGAGGTTCTACATTATATATTTACTTGGTTTACCTACCACCCAGCCTTTGTGTTGAGGAATATAGCAGGTTCTTTGAGAGATGTCAGGATGCCGTGATCGATCACTCTGGTTTGAACGAAAGGATCTTAATATTAGGCGACTTTAACATACCGGGTGTTACTTGGGGGGGTGACGATACATTTCCTTGTCGTCAGCAGCCGCGAAGCGCGACCGACACTAAGTCCCACCTGCTTGTCCAATTTTTAGACATTACTGGATTGCACCAGTACAATCACGTACATAATGACAATGGTAGGATTCTTGATCTTTGCATGTCTGATGTGGAGAGTATTGTCGTTACTGACTGTTTGCCGTTGTCTACACCTGACCGCCATCACCCTGCTATTGAAATAGAAATCTCAACTAATAGAACTAAAGTCATGCCACAGATAGTAAAGAGGATCCCTAATTTCCGTAAATGTAAAACTGATGGCTGCATTGCTCAGTTGAATGACGTGGATTGGTTCGAACTATTGAATGATCACGATATTAATATAATAACTGATCGCTTCTACGACGTTTTGGACAGAGTTATTGCGGCGAATGTACCTACCAAACGTATTGGATGTGTTAAGTATCCAATATGGTATACTCATCACTTAAAGTCTTGTCTCGTAAAGAAAATCGCCGTTCACAAGAGATATAAAAAGTTCAAAAATCCTCGAGATTATGACGAATTTTGCGTATTACGTGCTCAATCAAAAAAACTTATAAAAAATTGCTACCGTAACTACATAGCCAGTATTGAATCATCTCTAGCGACAACTACAAAATTATTTTTCTCTTACATTAAGCATAAAAGAAACAGCCGCGCAATATCGAAAACCATGAAGCTAGGGAATGAAACTGTTAGTGACGGAGGTAAAATAAGTAACATGTTTTCAAAATACTTTGCATCAGTTTTCGTGGAGGAGAGCGCTGACCCGGTGAGTATTTCTTGTGACTTACCTCTTTTTAACCAAACTCTGTCCACTGTCTCGATAACTGAGAGTAAAATTTACAGGAAGTTGATAAACTTGGATCGGAATAAGGGTGCAGGCCCTGACGCTATCCCTCCTTGTTTCATTCGAGACTGTGCCAAGGCCCTGGTGGTACCCCTTCACATTATATTTAATACCTCTCTATCATCGGGTGTATTTCCTGCAAGGTGGAAACTAGCTCACATAGTCCCAATTCATAAGGCTGGAGACATTTCTGACTGCAGTAATTATAGACCAATTAGCATATTATCTACTTTCGCAAAAGTGTTTGAGTCTCTAGTGTATGACCAGTTGTATTATCATATTCAACCGTTTATACGTCCGGAACAACATGGATTTGTGAAGGGAAAATCGACTGTCAGCAATCTACTTGAATATACGAGCTATATCTCTGAAGCTTTTAACGATCATGTACAGGTAGACTGTGTCTATACTGACTTTAGGAAGGCCTTTGATCGAGTCAATCACAGAATGTTGCTTTGTAAGTTGGATACTTGTTGGGGGATTCATGGTAGCCTTTTGCGGTGGTTGGAATCGTACATAGTGAATCGGAGTCAAATTGTGACCCTAGGAAGCTACAACTCCGACAGGGTATCTATACCCTCAGGAGTCCCACAGGGATCTCACCTCGGTCCACTGTTCTTTATATTATACATTAACGACTTGATTCCTAAACTCTTGAACCACTCATTGTTATATGCGGACGATTTGAAAATTTTCTCTCGTGTTGGCAATGTTACAGACTGTAACCAGTTACAGTCTGATATCAACACTTTGCTGGAATGGTGTGCACTGAATGGCATGGATCTCAGCGTGAATAAATGTTCAGTTATTACATTCACACGTGCAAAAAATCCAATCACTTTTGAATACACCGCAAATGACCACATCTTGCAGCGTCTAGCGGAAGTACGAGACCTGGGTGTCATTTACGACTCCAAACTTTCTTTTAACGTACACTGTGCGGATATCTCCAGCAAATGTAGGAAAACTATGGGTTTCATATGTCGCATGTCTAAAGATTTTAGACATCAAAACAGTGCTATCACCCTATACAGGTCCCTTGTGCTTAGCAGACTTGAGTATGCGTCAATAGTCTGGAATCCTAAATATAAGGTACATACTGACCTGATTGAGTCGACTCAACGCCGTTTTGTGCGCTTCATGTCTCATAGGTATGGCTTAAAAAGGGAACTTCAGACGTATGCACAGCGTTCTGCTCATTTTGGGTTGCCGAACTTGGGAATTAGGCGGTCCTACCAGGACTTGGTATATTTGTTTAAAATTATGAATGGGATCCTTGCCACGAGCTTATTATCGCAGATTCACCTCAGGATCCCTACCAGATCTGTTAGACGCGAGATGTTTTTCTCTTTGCCAATGTGCAACAACAATGTATCGTCTCACAATCCTGTGATAAGGATGTGTCGCAAGTACAACGAGCTACTCTCGAGTGACATGGGCGTGCCTGATATCCACAATACCTCGCTTCACAAATTTAAAAAAATTGTTAAGAAATTGTTATTTGGTCGGTCCGATAATGAGGACAATATTGAATAATTTATCT